TTCAAGGGTGAATAAAACAGCACTTAACAAAGCCTTCCAACTGGTTAAATTTAGGACAAGAAAAAAAAAAAAAAACCTGACCCAAGAATAATCTCTGGCCTTGAGCCCAGGGTCCTTTTCCTTTTTGAGTGAATTTGGTACATTTTCATTCATGTGGGAACTGTTGCCTCCCAGCATTTTATTCTGGGATGGAAGGTCAACAATGACTGCCTTGTTGCTAAATCCAGTGGACACTTCTCAGTTATTAACCGACTTGACCTCTCAACAACATTTGACATTGTTGACAATTATCTCCTTCTTAATGCGTCCCTGGTTCTCCTTCTCCTCCTACGGCCTTTCTTTCTCCATCTGTCCTCTTCCTGGTTCTGTCCCCAGCCTTCCTCTTACACTGAATGTCCTCCTTGGGAGTGCTTTCCCTCTCTCTCTCTCTCTCTCTCTCTCTCTCTCTGTAATATTTTTTAGTTATAGATGGATGCGATATCTTTATTTTGTTTATTTATTTTTACATGGTGCTAAGGATCTAACCCAGTGCCTCACATGTGCGAGGCAGGTGCTCTTCCATGGAGCCCCAGCCCCAGCCCCTCCTTGGGCCTCTTATCATTCACGGCTTCCCTGGGAGTTCCTGAATCTGCGTTTCTAGCCTGTGTATTTCCCTGAGCTCCAGACCAGTATTTCCACTTGCCATCTTCACTTAGCTGGCACAGAGGGGTTCTCCCCTCGCAGCCTCAGTCTGGGCCTCCCCCTCAGTTCAGCCCTCCCTCCCCAGTTCTCCACCTCTGTAAAGGTTACCTCTAAACATTTAATTCCTCAAGTCAGAGCTTTTCGMATTCACTCTTCCTCTCAGTCACCAAGTTCTGTTGACTCTACTTCTTTCCATCCCCACTGCTACTCTAGTACTTGGTTGCTGCCATCTTTTACRAATGTGACTGGAAAAGACTTCTCTTAACCACTTTCTGCTTCCAACTCTCATATCCCCCCCCCCGCCCCCATGCGAGATTCACCAGAGTCATCTTTCTAAAATAGGAATTAAATCTTGAAAGTCTTACAGAATCGGCCTTTAAAACTGTCTGGACTTCCTAGATTTTTTTTTTTTTTTTGGTTCTAGGGATTGAACCCAGGGGCTCTTACCACTGAGCCACATCCCCAGCCCTTTATAAAATATTTTATTTAGAGAAAGCTCTTGCTGAGTTGCTTAGGGCCTTGCTTAGTTGCTGAGGCTGGCTTTGAACTCAGAATCCTCCTGCTTTAGCCTTCTGAGCTGCTGAGATTACAGGCATGAGCCACCGTGCCCAGCTAGACTTCTTGGAATTTTTCCCGGTAGAGTTTTGGTTTTCTTTTGTATTTTCTTTCTGGTTAGTGATCTATTAAACATCATAAATCTATAATATATAGATATAAACATCTATTAGATCTACAAGTATAGCTCTAGACATCTAGTCAAACTCTTGTATTAATTTTAGTTAATACTTTCTAGAAAATTATTTATTTCCCCTCAAATTTTCAAATTTATAAGTTGCAACATTTTTTCTTATAATTAAAAAAATTACCTTTATATCTTAGTTATCCTCCTCTTTCCTAAACTTATTTGTAGCTTTCTTTGCTAAGTTTTGCCAGAAGTCGATTTCATTGATTTTGGGGGGGCAGGGTACTGGAGATTGAACTCAGGGGCACTCAACCACTGAGCCACATCCYCAGCCCTATTTTGTATTTTTTTTTTTTAGTTGCTTAGTGCCTTGCTTTTCCTGAGGCTGGCTTTGAACTCACAGTCCTCCTGTCTCAGCCTCCTGAGCCACTGGGGTTACAGGTGCACGCCAATGTGCCTGGATGTTTTATTGATCTTTTCAAAGGCCATGTTTTGATTTTATTGTTGAAGTCTCTCTTTTTTAAAATAAATTTCAACTTTAAAAATTTCCTCTGAATTAGCTTATTTATCTTTCAACTTTTTGAAATGAATCTATTTTTCTTCTCTAAATAAAACGATTTTTCCCCTTGGACTTTCTATTCTATCGATCTGTTTGTCCTTTCTTTCTGGTATAACATTATTAAAACATTATTTAACATTTGGCAGTCCAAGTCTCCTTTATTATTATTTTACAAAATTTTCTTGGTTATTGGACCAGATGGCATCTTAAAGTCACAAAGATCTTTGATAGTTAATGTAAAAATGCACCCAAATAAATCCTTTTAGTTCCTTCTTTCCAAACTCAAATATTCATTATTTTTGCAGTCTTCAAAAAATGTCTATCATCAATCTGTGTTTGCATGTGGCATGTTTAAATGTATTTTATGTGTGTGCATGTGTGTGTGTGCATTTGATGCATGTATAGCATGCGGGGTGTGTTTGTATATAGGTGTGAGGTGTGAGTGTAGTGGGTTGTGTGTATGCATGTGGGGTGTGTTAAGGTATGTGTGGTCTATGTGTGTGCGGGATGTGTGCCATGTGTATGTTTGTGCTGTGGGTGTGTGCCAAGTGAATTTATGTACATGTAGAGTGTGTGTGAGTGCAAGTGGCGTGAAAAAGAGATACTGAGACCCTAGAGGGTGCTTGAGTCCCCTGGGCATGTCACAGAGAGCCAGACTTGCTTCTCAGCCCCCCTTCCTTCTTGGGGAAAACAGGGCTAGGACCTGACTCTTTCTGAATGTCAACTGTGGATGGCAATATGGGTCAGTAGGGCAAGTCCCTGCAGTGCCACTGCCCATGCTCCTACTCACTTGTCCTYCATCTCCTAAGGGAGGAAAAATGACCTGTTCTTTTAAGCAAAGGGAACTTCCAGGGACCCACTCAGTAAAGGAACATTTGCTGTGGCAGCAAAGGTGGTACAGGTGGTTCCAACAGAGGGGATCAGGATCAGGCTGGCCTTGGGGTCTCCCAACTGAACAGGTTAGCTGCCGAGTGGGGCAGAAGGAGTCAGGAGGGAAACTGCGAGGCAGTGGGACCTTGGTCCCGATAGCAGGTGAAGAGCATAGTATGGGCCTCTGTCCTTTGTCTCCCAGGCTACATTCAGACAATGCAATTCTCTTCCCAGGTCCCATCTTCCTGAATGTTGCACCTGCAAGTTGCTCGAAGCCTCCTGTCCAAGGTGCTCTTCCACAGTATAAGGCTCTACAATGGTCTCTGGAAGAGCTGTAAAGAGGGTGACTGTCACCTTGGGCACATAGCCCTTCTCTTCCGTGTGCCCTGGCTTCTGAATGCCTYGCTTTATAATTCCTACCAGGAGTGAACAAGCCCTCACAGTGGGCGTCCTTGGGCCATGTTTAACTCCTGCTCTGATCTTGCTCCTGCAGCGCTGCAGCACCCTGGAGCGCAGTGTCCTGTCTGCACCCTGTGGCTTGAACCTGAGGTTGCCCATTTTCCATGACTGGGTGGAGTGGCTAAGCCAGGATACTTCCCTGCCCAAAATGGATGTCTGGACTCAGACTTCTCCAGTCAGGAAGAGGATCAAGCGTGCCCAAATCCAGGGTGCAGGTAAGACCATCTGCCAATGGAGAGTGAGCCCACTCCTGCTAAGGGTAGTGTTCATGGTGTGTGTGGGGTAGGTGAGGCAAGAGCAGGACAGGGCTTTACACAGTACCAGGATTCAAATGATCCACTCACTTGTATGTGACTCATTTGCACTTGACCAGTAGTTTGTTGATTTTAAGCCTCCTCTAGTTTCTGCTTCCTACCGGTGGCCAGCTAAACCTGTGGCATCTAGTTTCCTTACTGCCTCAAGAAATCAGGTCTGCTACCTCCACTTGCTGTTGACCATGGGGCAGGTGTGGAAGCCAAGGAAGAGCAGAAGGGTGACAGCCTTTGGGGCAGAGGGTCCAATTTCAGCTCTGCCTGTTCCTAGTTCTGCAAACCTGGGCACGTCACCTACCATTTCCACCTGGGGTTCAGATTTCTCCCTGGTAAATTGGAGCTAATACTTCCTAGGCTTAGGGGAAGATCAGATGAGATGATATGTGTTAATTGCACAGCTCAGCTTCTGGCACCTGGTACTCAATATATATAACTCTTCTCTCTTGCCTCCCCCAATCTTGTCTTGAGTGGATCATGGAACCACAAATACCCACTTGGTAATGAAGTCAGGGATCAGGGACAAACACCAACACTTCCCATTTTTAGATTTACATGAGACCAGCAGCTTTCCCTCCCACAGTGGCAACAGTCAGAGATTTGCAGAGCAGATGTCTTGGTGTGAATCTGCTCCCTGGAGGTGTCTCATGAATGTTTGCCGACAAATCCACACAAGGGCTGACCTTCCTTCTAGCTCTGCCGGCTTGCACCAGGCTCTGGAGATTCAAAGTGCCTACCCACTTTCCCAACTCCCCTCCCTGTCCTTAGATGCTGGGGGCCTGCCCTACTACTGTCTGATGGCACCAGGCTGCACATGGAGGACCATGAGGCTGGCTGGTGCAAGCTGCTCCCATATGTACCTGTCCTAGGATGCTCTCATCCAAGGGAGATTCAGAAGGGCCATCTGGGCTGGCAGGGTTTGGAAAGAGGCTGGAACCTCTGGTGGGGGTGGCTTGTCCAAATGCAGAGAACACTTTCCCAAACCCTACTGTTCYTGGCTAGGAGGGTGCTCCTTTGCCCTTGCTTGGGTCTGATGATTACAGGTCGGAGCTTCAAAGCTCTGGCTAATTGCAGCCTGGGGGAGCTGGGCGAGCAGGCTAAGCAACTGGCCCCTTTCAGGGCTGGCACTTCCGAGCCCCAAGTGCGGTGCTGGAGCCAGGGGTCCTGGCACGGCCGCCGGGTGCAACCGGCTCCTCTGACTGCTGGTGACTGTCCTGGTTGCTCCGGGCGCCCACGCCTCCTCCCCTTGGCCGGCGTCTGCCAGATCAGGTGGAAATCTCCCCATTCAAACCAGCGCGGGCCAATCAGGGCCGGGCGCGCGCGGCCGTTCCCCAGCGCCGCGCAGCCGGGCCTCCGCTCCCGCCCGCCGCCGCTCCAAGGCGCTGGTGCAGGGCGCGGGCGAGCCTGCTGCCCCGGTTACCCGCACAACACAGCCACCTCGGGTTACCCTGCCCCTCCCGCAGCAGGGACGCCATGGAGGGCTCCCTGCACCGCGTCTCCTTTGGGAACCAGCACGCCCGCCGGGACCTGTCCTTCTACCTCTCCACCTTTGGTAAGTGCCTCGGGGGCAAGGCTGCCCCCTCATACCCTCAGTGGTGAAAGGCGATGTTGGGCAGCTCTCTTCCCATCTGGGGGCGACTTCTCTGGCTCCTTCCTCCTCTGATCGCCCAGAAGGGCTCAGGGCACAGGCTCAGGCGCAGCGAGTCGCGGGACACCACCTGCTGCCCGGCCGCTGGTGCCAGCTGCAGTTGGTTCTGCCTCACTTGGCTGGAATAATCACGCTCCAGTTAATCTTTCAGAGACCCGGCTTGTCACCACGGAGTTTCCCATTAGCAGGCAGCTCCAGTGCAATCAAGGTTCAGTTTCTGGATATCTCATTCACCCACTTTCCTTTGACTCAGCAACTCAACAGGTGCAGGGTCAGTCCAGGTAGCCTTGCCTCCTGTGGCGCACCCTGGAGGCTGTAATCTGACTTCTTCAATGGGTATCTGGCTTGCAGCCGAGGTGGGAGAATTCTCTCCTCCAAGACAGACCTTGGGAGACTCCCAGGGCTGCCCTTCAACTTAAAGTGGAGAAAGGGGCAGTAGGCCTCCACTCCCAAGCTGCTAAGTTTGCAGATGGAGTTCTTCCAAATACCAGCTGGGCAGCGGCTGTCACAAAGGCCTGGACAAACCTGACCTTCCAAGTATCCACAGTAAAGATAACAGCCCTTCTCTAGAGTACAGCCCTTGTTTCTTCCCTGGGCTTGCAACTCCCTGTGCAGAGGGGTTATTTTTCCTCTGTGAAGGCTTGGGCCCAGAGAGAGGAAGATCTCTCATGAGCCAAGACTTGTACCTGGACTTGAATCTTCTGGAAATGTTCACTTCTGTGGGGGTGTTCACTTCAGGGGAGGGTTATGCAAGCTGAGTCTAGGACCTGACTACTCTAGAGGGAAATTTTTCTTCATTGTAATAATTGGTGTACTTTGAAGAAGTATACATAATATTTTCCCCAGGATTATCTCTTTTGTTTTGATTAGGATATTCATTAACATTTTTTTGATAAAAATTTTGTTGAGATATAATTCACATACATACAATTCATTTATTTAAAGTGTACAATTCAATGGGAATTGCACAAACATTACCACRGTTATTTTTATAACATTTTCATTGCCTCATCTCAAGTCTAGGTGATCACTAATCTACTTTCTGTCTCTATAGACTTGCCTATTTTGAACATTTTATATAAAAGGAATCATATAATACATGTTTATCTGGGACTGACTTCCTTCACTTATGATGTTTTCAAGGTTTAATTATGTTGTAGCATGTGTCATTTCATTCATTTTTATGGCTGAATAATATTCTGTTGTATGGACATACCACATCCTGTTTATCCATCCATCTGTTGTTGAATATTTAAGTTGYCTTCACTTTTTGGCTATTATGRATAGTGCTGCCACAAACATTTATGTACAAGTTTTTGTGTGGAAAGATGTCCTTTTTTCTCTCTTATACCTATGAGTAGAATTCTTGGATCATATGTTAACTCTGTGTTTATCTAGCTGAGGAACTGTCAAACTTTTCCACACTGTCTGCACCATTTTACACCATCAGCAATGAATGCAGGTTTTGCTTTCTTCACATCCTCACTGATACCTCTTATTATCTGACTTTTTAGTTCCAGTGATCCCAGTGAATTGTAAAATGGTATCTTATTATGGTTTGGATTTGCATTTTCCTAAACACCAGTGATGTTGAGCCTTTTTAATATGCTTATTGATATTTGCATATATTCTTCATAGAAATATTCTTCAGACTCYTTTGCTCATTTTTAAATTGGGCAATTTTTTTCTATTACTGAGTTAGAAGAGTTTTTTCCTATATTATAGATGTAAACCCCTTATCAGATATATGATCTGCAAATATTTTATTTCAATCTGTAGATTTTTTCACTTTCTTTATATTGTTTTTTGAAGACCAAGTGTTTTTAATTTTGTAGAAGTCCAATTTATCTTTTCTTTTGTTGTTGGTATTTTTGATGTCATAATCTGAATCTCTTGCTAGGTGAAAGGTCACAAGATTTACTCTGCRGTCTTCTAAGAGTATCATAGTTTTGACTCTTACATTTATGTTTTAATCCRCATTTAGTTAATGTTTGTATATGATATGAGCTCAGGGTCCAATTTTATTCTTTTGTATATGGCTATCCAGTTGTCCCAGTATCAYTTATTGATAATATTTTTATGCCCCCTCTGGAGGATCTTGGTACCTTTATTAAAAAGCAATTGAAGGATGGGATTGTGGCTCAGTAGCAGAACACTTGCCTTGCAAGTGAAGTGTGAGGCACGGGCATTAAAAAAATAAATAAACAAAATAAAGGTGTTGTGTCCATCTACAACTAAAAAAATATTTTAAAAAAGCAATTGATCATGGGATTATTTCTGGACTCTCAATTCTATTCCATTGATCTGTTTATCAATCATTGCGCCAGTACCACACTGTCTTACTATTGCTTTGTAGTTATGTTTTGAAATTTGTTCTTCTTTTTCAAGTTTATTTGGACTGTCCTGGGTCCCTTGAGTTTCCATCTGAATTTTGGGTAGAATGTTTTATATAGAAAATAAAAATCAAATTCACAAAAAATATGGATAAATATTTATAGAGTGTCTTATTGAAGGGATTCCCGTGTATCAGCTTGCCTGATGAGCCAATTTATTAACCTGTGTGCAGTCTCTGAACCAAATTGTCACTCAGGTCTCTGTATCCTGGAAGTGGTGAGTGATCCGGTGGAGAACAGGTTGCCCTTTCTGYAGGGTGTGTGGGCCAGGAGACGATGGGCAGGCTGGACGTGTCCTGAGGGATGTAGGTAGCTGTGGACGTGGAAGACAACCCACTTCTCTTTAGAAATGCCACCCCCAGGTGAACCTGCAAGATGGGAGCTGTGGGGAGGAGCTCTAAGTGCAGGCTCTAACGTGGGCCTGGGGTGTCAGGTTCATCAGAAGGAAGACGCTGTGTTGAAGGCAGAGTGGGCTAAGGCACAGTGGGGGTTCACTGGCCCTTTGTTTTCCTTTTCCATGTTCACTGGGGCCCTGTTCTACCCTTTTCCTGCCCCCCACCAGAGGTCATGGAGATAAAGAATCCATCTTCTTCTGTCCCAGCTGTGGCCTGTGTCAGGCAGTGTGAGGTCAGCCCTTCSGTGTGTCCCTGCTGGCTGCTCCGTGACCCCTGTGTTCATCCCTCCCAGGCTTGGCTCTGGAAATAGTCCATTCTCAGGAGCTCATCCCGTGCTGGTTGGAGTCTTCAGAGTTTACTGCTTTTCCTCTCTTGGAATCCATCTGCTTGGGAGCTTTCAGAGATTCCTCACAGCTTCTGATGGCTCAATAGCTCTCTGTTTTTTTTTTTTTTTTTTAAATTCTAATGATGCTCCTTTTACATCTTTTCTATTATGAAGTATTACAAACATATAGAAAAGTGCCCCCTCGCCTCTGGGACAGTTCAGTGACTTATCATAAAGCACGTACCTTTCTTTCACCAGAGTCAAAATTGAATACTACCAATATCCAGAAGCTCATGTCTGATATATGAATTATAATTCAGTTCAAAATATTTTCTAGTTTCCATTGTTATTTCTCCTCCAATCCATGGATAATCTAGAAGTATATTTCTTAATTTCCAATTTTTTTTTCTAGCAATGTTTTTGTTGTTTATTTTATATTTTGATCAGAAAACATCCTCTGTATCCAGCAGTTTTTTGAAATTCATTGAGGTTTGCTCGATGGCCCAGTGGATAGCCAGTTTTTCTAGGTGTTTTCTGAGCACTCCGAAAGAATTTTGCAGCAGTTGTATGCAGCGTTCTTTGCAAATGTCAAGTTTAGGTCAAACTTGCTAATTACATTGCTCTARTATTTTGTATCCTTGTTGATTTTTTACCCCAGTTTGTTCTATCAGTTACCAAGCGAGGTGTGTTAAAAATTCCCACTCTAATTGTAAACTTGTCTACTTCCCATTGGAGTTGTGAGTTTTTCCTTTATATGTTTTGAAGCTATATTAAGAACATGCACATTTAGAATGATTATCTTTCTGGTGAATAGAAGCTTTTATTATGAAATCTTCTTTTGCTATGAAGATTTCTCCTTATTTCTAGATGAAATCTACTTTTCCTGATATTAACGTAGCTACCCGTCGTAACACTTGCCTGGCATGCCTTTTCTAATCCTTCGCTCACTCCCCTCCTCTATGTCTAAACCAAAGAGCATCTTTCTTCTTGAAGACCTGAGATGATGTCTTCCTCCAAAAAGACCTTTATTTGCTTGTCACTTTGTGGGGTCACTAGCTAGCATTCTGCAATGATCATTTCCTCCTCCTCCTCCCCCTCCTCTTCTTCTTCCTCCTCCTCCTCCTCTTCTCCCCCTTCTCTTCCCCCTCCCTCTCGTCTGACAATGTTGCTGGGGCTGGTCTTGAACTCCTGGGCTCAAGTGATCCTCCCACCTCAGCCTCCTGAGCAGTAGGATAATCTTCATTAAATGTTAGGGACGGAGATTATTTGAGGTTGAGCTACGGTCCCTTGAGGAGCTGTGTGTGGTTATAATTTCCCCTATTCCTAAGGAGCAACCCTCTAGGGTCCCAGACGGTAGGGGCTCAGAAGAACTTGACTTCTCGGGATGCCCTGTTCTCTGAGCCCTTTTTCCTCAAGACCTGAGAGGTGGCGGAGAACTCTGCTTGGCCCTTCAGCTGTCCCCCTGGAGTGTGGCGATATCTCAGGAGGAATTAGCTCCGGGAGACACTAGGTGTACTTCTGCAGCCCTCCATCCCCCAGGGGCGTTCAGCTCTTCCTCTCTATCTGGTTATGGCTCTAAGAAGATGCTTTTTTTTTTTTTTTTAATTTTAATATTTATTTTTTAGTTCTCGGCGGACACAACATCTTTGTTGGTATGTGGTGCTGAGGATCGAACCCRGGTCGCACRCATGCCAGGCGAGCGCGCTACCGCTTGAGCCACGTCCCCAGCCCTAAGAAGATGCTTTTAACATTTTGTATATTTTTCCAGTTTTCCTCAGTGGCTCTGCCACC